AGTTAGACACGACCAGTCACAAGTCCAGACAGAAGGTTAGACACAAGACCAGACAGAAGGTTAGACACAAGACCAGACACAAGACCAGTCACAAGACCAGACAGAAGGTTAGACACAAGACTAGACACAAGATCAGTCACAAGTCCAGACTGAAGGTTAGACACAAGACCAGACACAAGCCAGACACAATAAACAGGCAGAACAAGGATAAAAGGATGCTTTTGGACGTCATGTGACCACCCTTTTACTTACATTCAAATTAGAGGACTTTGCAGAACAACGGATCTTGATAGCAACACTGACTGTTATACTTATGCAAATGCCTACATGTATATCTACCACAAATTGGCGTGTGAATTGGTCTTTGAAAATCTCATGTGATATCTGTTGACTTTACCTCATCAACTGACAGGTTACTCAACGAGCAGCTGGAGACAATGCGGAAGGACGTGTCTGATCTCAGAGTGCAGAATGCCCAACTCACCTCTCAGGTAATGACAATGTTTTGTTTTCCCAACAACCGAATCCAAACAGTTCACGCTACCTTTGTTTGTAAAACGTCGCTTGTGAAATTGTCAAAACTAGCCGATTCATTCCTCCAGGTCGACGCTGAAATCAATGTTTTGTTTTTTTAACTTATTCTTGACTTGGGAGTGCGGGCTGTTGTTCAGCTGGAAGAGTTTCCTTCCTCTTTTGTTTATTCTTGATTTGGAGGGAGCAGCATAGGCTATGCTGAATATCCAAATAACCGAATATTCAATTAATTGATGAATATTCAAATATTATTTTTTGAATTTGAATATTCGAATGCAACATTAATAAAAAGTAAGTGAAAAATCTTGTTTTGTTTAAATAAGAAAATTGCACTTGTTTCAAGGAGATTCAAATGAAAAGCGTCAGAAATCGTACAATTTAAAAAAGTAAATTATTTGTTAAACAGTTTAAAAGGAACAGAAATTTTCAACAGGGCGAGAAGTATTGTTCATCTCTTAAATCTTGGAAAATCATGGCTGGAGATATTCCTAGACGTGAGGAGCTATCATATTGATCATAATGTACAATTGTGTGTGTTATTGCAACTGATTTTGTATATGGTTTGCTCATCAACAATCTGCCGGTTGGTACGACTGAATATTCGGATATTCAAACAGTGAGTCATTCGAATTGACTCAGCCCTAGAGCAGCATCTGAGCTCCTTGCTGCAGGCTGAGCCTTGCACAGTGACACCCTCGGCAATAAAAATGAGGCTGTGATTGTCACTGGAGAAGCAGCAGTGATGGAATTGGGTTGGGCGAGGAGTGCAGGCAGCCTGACCAACACTAAAAAGTGATGTTGGATTCACTATGGTGACCATCATCCACTCAGCCATGATATCTTGCTGGTATTGCACATCTGCCAACTAGTACGATTTAGCCGTATTTCCTTCGGGAATTTCTTGTAGCACACATTTCACCATAAATTTGCCGCTGGAAATAAGGTTAGTAAATTTTCACTTTCGCCGATGGAGCGCTTCGTGACAACTGGCATGGGGCAAAATTATGCGTCATGCATTATTTACATGCTCTGTGTGCATCGTTTTGTATGAGATTTCAAACAATATTGGGACGTAAACTCATCAAAATGCCAGTGCAGCACAAGTGCATAAATTGTCCAAAGAGGGGGCTAACTTGGATGCAATCTTTGACAAGACGGATCCTCGAGACCGCAGCCAGCCGACAATAGAAAACGCGGACTGCAGACCAACCAAGCTGTCGCAGAGATTACCATTGACAAGCCTTTCATTGCCATCTTTGTCAGAGCTAGGGGTGAATAATAGTTAGCAAATATTGAAGTCGATTGCTTAGAGTTTGTCATTCATTGTTTTTGGACAGTTGGTTTTTCTTCCATGAATTTAGTAATACAAGCGTTCCGTCCATGGTATAAAAGCAAGAATTGATGACTTCTACCTCTTGAATACATTTTTTTCTAAATAATTAAACTGATGCCGTAGAATCATCTGGGTTTCCCATTCTGAATATGGAGGTCCAGATACGCCAAATGAGAAATAAACTTTGCCAAAGAGATCATTATGGGTCTGTTGCTGACACAAAGAATGATTGAGAAAGCAATCAAACCTTTCAGTGCAGTGGTTAGTTTATTTTTGTGTTAACGCTCAAAGGTAATGACGGTAGGAGTTCTGGCAAAACTGTTCCCTTAAGAAAATGAGAATGATTGGTATTGTCCTTTGGATTACACTGACTCCTTTGGTGGTGACAATTTCCGTTGCGAATGATAGGCTGATTACTTTTGTAATACATTTAAAATTAATATTTCAACTGCTCCCCTAAGCTGAACTTGCCAAGCAGGCTTCGGCAGTAAATAAACCTGAATAATGAAAGACGTGCGACAAAATTGTAACGGCCGGAATTGTTGGATCAAGTCAGAGGTTACGACAGTGTAACAATTGAAAATTGAAGGATTAAAAACTGCAACCTTAAGTTTGAAGGGTCAAGACTATTTTTAGATTGATTTCAAATCAAAGATTATGCTAAAATTTGCAAAGACTTGTTTATGCCATAACCTGGAACAAAATCCGAATGGGAGGGGCTACCGGTACATTTACCTGTTAAGAAGGTGGGGCCTTCACACCTTCAATAAATTCCGATTTATGTGTGAGGATATTCCAGCTTAGGTAACGAATCTGTTCCTCAACACGGATGTCAGGCAAAGAACTGCATGTTCAATCATCGAGGGCCGTTTTACTGCCGTAAACAATTGTGACTCAAATTGTGGTAGTGGAAATGTCATTTGTTATCGTCAGTACAACCCCCCCCAAAAAATCGAAACACAAATCCACACAGCAGTGGCATCTCAAGTTAGTGATTAAAGTCCATTTTAAATAATGACTTGAACACTTTGTGTAGATGCCTGAAGTAGTGCATTCAACTTTTACTTATTTTTTGTACATCAGTGGTCGAAAACTAATTATTTCGCTGAGCAGATATAGACACTTACACTGACTTTGTGTGTCACAAAAACATGGAAATATTGGCAGAAATTATTTGACACAAAAGTGACCATAAATTTCATTTAAAAAATATAATGTGCAATCAGAGGGTCTCGTGATTGGTTCATGATATTTAACAGTTGGTTGTTGCTTGAAACTGTTGCTAAGTAAAATATTCAACACTAATCAAAGTCAAGATATCAATAATTTCATTCTAAAACCAACAAAACACAAAGTGTTGGTTTAAGCATTCAATACGTAACCACTGAACTGATAAGAATAAAATTACACTTCCAAATACTTCACTGCAAATTTACAGGCTAGTGGCTTCAGCGACAAAATCTTCACATTAAAGCATGTGTTCACACGTGATACATTCTAAACACCAAACACGCCAAGGCAATTTTTACAATTTTTACAATTTTGACCATGTTTCCAAAGTGGTGAGTTGTCAGAGACAGAGAAAATGTCAAGAACTGGACTTCAGGTACGACAACCGTCTGCTGGGATTAATTCTAGACAGATCTGTGTGTATTGGTTCAAACAGGGGTAATTCCAGAAACGAGGACCTGACCTTTCTGACCTTTGTTAGTGGACATGGAAATTTCAGCGGAATTGATTTCAAACTATTACTATTTCTTTGGCAGGTAATTTCCATCAACTCATCACTCTTGGAAATCAGAAAATGTGTTCTGAACTTACAAAATCATACCTGTATGTCAGATGTGACAGGGGCATGAAAAAAACTGGACCCCTAATTTGTAGACTTACATGTACATACAGACAAACAATGTTCAGAAGGAGAGCCCAGATATCTACACCAGACTTCATTGTTTCATCAATGTCTGCTTACCTTTGGCAGTTAATTGAAACGATGTGTTGTACGTGCTGACATTGCTAAACTCACAAACCAGGGTTCACAAACATGTTTACGGTCAGCAGCAAAAATGAGAATTGTTTTCTTTCAGTCCAAGTTGAAGTTCGTAGAATTCTTGGTCAAAATTGTCAATATCTAGTCCATGCAATTTTCTGAGTAGA